TTTGATGTGGACATTTATTTTAAAATAAACTTATTTATGGTACCTATGAATTGGCATTTTTTATTTTATTTGTACATTTTATTTCAACTAATTTAATAACTGGGTATATTTTATATATTTATATAATTGTTACAAATACTTTGTATAAAATAAGTATTTATGAGTAAGTGTGTTTATGGGTTATTCCATTTAATAAATTGATGATAATTGTTAGACAATAATTCTTTATTTATTTATACAATTATTATAATAATTATACTTTAGTATGAAATTATAAATTTAATAGGAAAGGTATGAGGAAGGGGGAGGATATCTAACAAATGTAACTTTAAAGTTACAAAGAAAACATACCAGGAACATTAAATCTGAATACCGTTACATAATGTCTTATACAATGTTACAAACAACATGGCATAAGGCGTTTCTGTAATGTATTTGGAATACATATGGAACTTACAAAGGAATATTCCATAGTTCCATGGGAATTGTTTTTTTACATAACTGTAACGGTTTTTTGCACAGTGGGCTGTTACCAAAAAATCTTAAAAATACATAAGCACAGTTTATTTTTATTGTAATTTTAAGTTCAAATTTGGATGAAATTACATAAAGAAAAACCTAGAATAAATATTTTAGTTATTTTGTTGTGATTGTATAATATTATTCGTGGGTAATTGAAACTTCTAAAGTAAACTATTATATATCTATTGAAGTATCACGTTTTTTGTTGATGTATAACAAGTTATAAGTACCTAATGGCTCTTGTGATATGATTAATTTGGAATTTATTATAGGTACAATTTTTTATTTAATACTATAGATTAGTATGTAATATGTCTTATACCTTGACTGACATACCGTACCTATCCCCTCAGAATCGTTTTTCTTATACAATGATATTATATCATTGAATTCAAATTTAATACCATCCATTAAACAGTGACCCACTTGTAACCTACTGTACAGCAGAGCACCTTTTTATTATTATATTATATTTTTTAAATTGGAATGGTGGTTTTTCCCATTATCGAAGACCGAAGTACTTACCGTCCATAATCTATATGCATGTAGAGTGTAGGAAGTAAGTACCTACTGTAATTAGGTACAGTGTGTCTCAGGTCATCCATTGTTTATTAATAAATAATAATTAAAATGAATCAGACCATTTATTTTGAAATGACGATCGTTTACCGGTTAAATATTTATAGCCGGGTAATATTTATACTGACACAGCTAAACATTTTATTTTTTTTCTAGTTTTAATACCTAATTTATAAGTTTGTATTTGAACTATTTGTAGGAATAAGACAATATATAAATACAGATCATGGAGGGATCTATCCCCCATATCCCCCCCCCGTAATTACAACATGCTTCTGGGTTTGGTAAGATTTTCTATAATCATTTTTAGGCAGGTATAATTTAAGCAAAAAATAATAAATAAATTATGACAAATCATACCTATTTTGAGCATATATTTAAAATCTTTACGGATGACTTCCAAAGGTAGGTCGACAGATTTCCATACATGGAAAAAAATAATTACAATAATGTTTTAGTTGAGTAAAATACAGTTAAAACAACTATATTTTTGCATTTAACAGCTATAAATGTATGTTCAAGTAACTGGTAAATAAATAGTTGATTTATGAAAAACGTATTTAACTAAAATAATGTTGTTGAACAATAATTTAAATAATAAAATAAATAAAAATAATAAATAATAAAATATAGTTATTTATTTGAGGTTATGATGTTACTGATGTAACTGATTTACCTACGCGCTGCACATACGCTACGATTCCACATGTTCAATGTCTCAATTACACATTTTTACAAGTTTTTATGAGCTTCCATTTATTTAAAAACGTATTATTTGTGTGTTGTCGTTGAGTCGTCCAGAACTACAAGAGTAAATACACCGGCTACTCTTAGAAAAAATTAATAAGAAAAAAGAATTTCGATTAAATACACAAAAAAACTTAAATGTTATGGATATTTATCTAGCTTTGAAAAAAACAACCGATCATTACCTTGTTAGTAGATACAATGTTTAACTTGTACAGTTTAACTGACTTATTTTGCTTAACTATATGGTAGGTATTATTTTAAATCTTAGATTGGCTTAGATTTTGGACACATGTATCCTGGTAAGGAAATGTGACAGTTTCAAAAATTTGAATTTTTAAAGAAAAGTTCAAATTTTTACTTAAACAGAAAAGTATTAAACTTGAGTCAACTTATTCAAAGTTTCTTATTAATCTTAACGATTCTAAAAAACCTGGCAAGTGAATATATAGATCAGGCATTGGTAGCAAACAATTTCATTTAGACATCTTAATCTTTTATAGGAGATGATGATTTGGCTTCACTATTGTTAATAGTGTTAATACCATTTTTGTTTCAACCTACAAATGTAGTTCTCAAAAACAAAAAAACTCATCGACCTTCCAAAATTAAACAGTCAAGAGCTTTTGTTTCACACATTGTTGTAAGTTCACTATTTTAATTTATGATTTAGATAACTTAAGATAATTTAGAACATATATATGTTTTATTCTAGTGTGCACATTTACTGAAAACTTAACAACAAAAAAAAGATTTTGCACTTTTTTTGGTTTTGACTGTTCAACCATATGTTGTTGTAATTGGTGATATTGATGGATTGGATCCTATTCATGCCTTATACTTATTAGAGACTCCTATCAAAGCAGTTGATGTATGCTTTAAAGCTTTTCATTCGCTGAACCTGGAATATCCTGTTGAATCAAATCAAGTATGGTGCTTTATTGAACATTTTTTTTCAATATTGTAAACCCTATAAAAGGTAAACAATTTTTATTAATCCAAACTCTTGTTCTGATTTAAATTCAACCAAAATATATAAACAATTTGTTGTTACCGAGAATGGTATTGTAATTTAATATTTTTTTCAATTTATATAAAAAAAGAAAGGTTTAAATTTTTTTTATTCAAACATTAAATCACATTGTTTATTGTTTTATTATTACTTTTTACATTTCAATTTTTCTCACAAATTAAGATTTATATATTTGTATTATATTGCGATACTACGAAGAGAACAATTTTTTTATCTATTTGTTCTATATAAGATTAGAATATATACCTACAATATTGTGATATAATAATAATATACCTAGTTATACATTTTAAAATGCCCTATGCTTCTTAGATTTGAAATAATGAAAATGATCGCGGATACAACGAGACTTTATTATGAATGAATATATTTTATAGTAGGTAGGTAGTTAATAGTTATAAAGGAATATAATAGTATTCATTTTTCCGACGAGTTCTCATGGTATTTTTTGATTACTATCGTAAATCCGGGAATTCAAATTTTGTCGTGAAAAATGCGATGACGGATTTCACACACTAATGTTTATTTACTTCTCACACACATTGACACAGCCAATAATTACATGTAATATGAAATGCCTAAACAATAGATATTTTTATGATGTTTAAATTTCTTAACATTTTGTTTGTACATCTGAAGAAATTTTCTAAGTAATTTTAGTTAACTACAACAACAATTATTTACCTTTTTCTGAATTTGTCTGTTTATGCACTGGTGGCAACCATAGCTGAAAATTTGTATGTAGGTAGGTACCTTTTTTTTTTACTCAAATTGCCTCCCATAACATACCTGGATTATTAATTATTAATTAATATATCGATAGTTGTACGGCGTGTACTATCAATTATTATATTATTCAGCAATGTTCAAAAATAAAATGTTTAAGATATACCTACAGTATTTCCCAGACCGATTAATTTTTTAAATGCAATAATCTTATCCGAAATTAGTGATTATCAGTTAATGATTACTAATGATTGAATAACTGAATGATATTTTGTCATAATTATTTTTAATATTATTAATTATTACTGCTGTTTCAGTTCATTTATTAAAAAACTTATTTTATACAAACTTAATTTTTTGACTGTATAACAGAATGATATTTCATCTAAATTATGTTTGATACATTTTTTATAAATCGATTAATTATAGGTACCTAGCAAGTAGCAGGCGATTCTAGTACAAGGGTAGGTAAGTGGTATAATAGTTAGTGACCCTCTTAGGAGGCAATTCAAGTAAATAATATTTTTGAAATCGGGAGGCAATTCGGGTAACCTTTTAAAAAAAAAAATTTACGGGAGGCAATTCTGGAGCGCCCATTGTAGCACGTGTTATACAAATTGTTTATAAGGATATACTTTAAACGTATTGTTTCATTCATCTGGAGTAATTAGGTAGCAGCAAAAGATATCGGTGAAAATGTGAATGATGTTTTAGATTTATGCATAAAAATTATAAACTTTATTCATGTTAGTGCAGTAAATACTAGTATTTACCTTAAAAATATTATGGTATAAAGAAAAAAAATCAGTATTCATAACATATTTGTTAGTTATAATTCATATGGGAGATTTCTAAATTTCTAATAGTTATATATAATATTAGATTTCTTAACTTTTGTTGACACCAGTTATGAACTTTTGGTTCATAAGACATATATCCAATATCTCATAGATATCCAAAAATATGATCATATTTATGTGTCATTTTCGATGTCTCACAGATACTAAAACAAAAAAAAACAACTATAAAGTTTTTGTTAAATATCTCAAGTACAGCTTTGTAAAAATAGGCAACAAATAATAATACCAATATTTTTCATATAAAACATTAAAAAACTTTATTAATCATACAAATATAATCATAAACTTAAAATTAAAAATTAAAAGTAGATAAATGATAGTTTAAAATTTTTTACTCACAAAATAGCCAAATTGGGAAAATAAATAATTTATTGAATATAAAGTACTTATATAATATGTATTATAAATTGGGGTAGTATATTTATATTTCATATAATATCGTTGTAAATTGATTTTTCTAAGTATTTGTTTTTGTGCATTAATGAATATATTTACTAACATAATTTACTTAAATACAAAATTACAAAGAATTCTTATAGACGAATTCCCTGGTTGCGGGAACGTACAAAGTTTAAAAGTTCATCACTGTCTTCGCATACAAATGGTTTTAAATGGTGGCATGCAACATCGTGCCACTTTACTCCGTCTTGGTAAAAGTTATTCAATACAGCTAAACATGATTCATCATTACCCTAAAAAATTCATTCGTATCGGTTATTATCAATAAATATAAACAATTTTAGATTTCAAAAATAGCATTACCACCAAAATAAATAGGTGATGGTATATAAGTTATTAGGGTATTTAGGGAGTTTAATTTTTGTTTGTAATAAATATTTAATTAGCGTCAATTTTATTTGAAGATCTTAACTTTAATTTTAATATTTTAGTGAATTGAGAAATATATTGAGCGGAGCTCTATTTTCAATCTATAAATAAGAAATGGTTCTACACAAAAAAATGTTCCATGAATAAAAAATCATTATAAAGCGAAAAATGATAACTCAATCAGGTAGGTATTTGTATATAACAAATTGTATGTAAAACTTTAAACCTCTATTTATTTATCTTATTTAAAAGTTTAAAACAATAAATTATCATCCGTTTTAAATTTTAAAAAAATAATATGGATTATGTATAAACTATACAACTCACACTATATTTAAAAAAATAATAATTAGGTATACATGTACCATAGGTAACATACATAATATTCTTTAAAAAATGTATGAAATATTTTACTTAAAATGTGACATCTGTTCATTTTTAAATCAAATTACAGATCAATACATAAAACGCCTATACTCTGTTCCAAAAGAGAAAAATCAATTTTTCCGACCGATTTTCGTCGGCGTTGCACATTTTCCACCAACTACTAAAGCTGCCACAGGGCAGTACCACCCCTCACATTTTGCTAATCGTAAAAGATCGTACAACGTCTTCGGAAAACATAGGCTAGCAAGGTGGATGGAAATTGACCTCGACACTGCCTGAGTTAGTCGTAAGCGCGAAAGTGATTTCCTATTCTCTTTTGGAACAAATCATAGGTACAATGTAATTTTTATACGTAAAATATGTTTAGTTTCAGTAAAGGCAATTAGAACATACTTGTGGTGCTTCCCTGTTATCTGGCTGTGCTTGCCCAAACCCTCCTGTGTGGCTCCAGTCACCAGAATTACGTTGAGTAGTTGGTCCAATTTTCGCCCCAGAACCAGACCAAAACCAACCGTTTACATTAGCAGGTACCAAATCTGGACGGTCACATCCGTTAAAGTTACATTTTCGTCCCGACGTCCAAATGTATCTTATATTTCCTTTAAAATTTAATTTAATTTAAACATAATTGAGGATTTAAAATATTTAATGATAATTTACCTCTAGATATTCTTTGTTTTACGAACTCATTCTCTTGTGGAGTTTCTAAACTTACTGCATCCATACAATGTCTACGACAAATGTTTCTGGCATCAAGCCAATCTACTTCTAAGCTTTTAGTAGGAGCATGTTCCCAGCTGAAAAAATAGGAATGTGTAACTCCACGGGCATCTCGATATGAAGCATGACGAATTCCTGAAAAAATAAGTATTATTTAAGTATAGTAAACACCTGTAACGAACATGTCGTCATCGACATCGTACATTACTCCCTACGTTTAGCACGACTAATATGCTGAGTGTTAGTAATGGCAAGTGTGTATATATGTATGAAATATATATTATGCTGACTCGATGTTTAGCTCACATCGTGTTAATAACCGACAGGGATTCCTGGTGGAAAATAGAAATAGTCGGTAGTGGCAGTCGGTAGTCGATGGAACCAGACCACAGTCAAGAGTCAATAGTCAGAGTGGATGGTCGATAGTGGAAGTCAAGCTACAACGATAGGGCTGACAACGACCTGAAGAGGACCCGTGGACGACCAGCTCAACCCACATCGGATATCAGCACCCACGACACGTCGACCATAGCCAGATCGGTAACCCTCAGTTATAATTTATAAGTATATCTAATAATTATTATTATTGATGTTCGATTTATTATAAGATTCGATGTTGTAGTAATAATAATAAATTAATAGTTAATAACAGATACATATTTATACGTTACGTTGAGTACTTTGCTTCAACTAAGGTAACCCTGATCCCTAGTAATAATATCACACACCGAGGTCGAGTTTCCGAGACTTCGTTAATATAAACAGAACGACACCGAAGCGATGCGAGCGATAGGTGAAGAGGAGACGTTGCACACCTATACATTATGATTTCGATCATACATAATTAAGAAACTACGAAAAACTTATTTGTGCCATAAATGACACAACATTCATGAAGGGGTTAAATAGATAAAAAAATAACTAAAGACTATAATACGTCTATACATGGGACCAATACATAAAAATGTAGACTAAAAAAATATAATGGCTGGTAACAACATTGGAAGGTATAAAATAGAAGGTGATGGCCGATGGGGGTTGGATACTGTGCCTCAGCGGCTTTGGTGTGTTCCTACAAAATGGATTAGTAGGAACTACTAACTAGTAAGTACATTAGAATAGAGTATATTAGAATTATATATAAGAAAATTATAAATTATAATAGACATTTATATTTTATTTGTGTTTATCTTTTTTGAGTTTATTTTTATAATAATAATGTAATGTTGAATGCATAAACTTACTACTGGAGCAACTGCGTGGATCTGGCAATGCTAATCTCCTCTGTGCTACAACAATTGTCAATCCAAAAACAAACAAGAATATTTGTCTTATCATTTTAAGCTGTAAAATAATAAAGTGACAATTAATATAGGTACAATCAAAATATATAACCATATAGGTATAATAAATTAATAACACTTCCAATTTCTTCAGCATTAATTTGTTAAAGTAAAACTTCTTTACAGAGAATTCGAAAAAAAAGATTATTGCCCTTCACGACACTAGTTTCCAGCGCCTACATGCAGAGTAACCAGGCTATTTGTAGCGACAACATTTTAGGGGTGGCATATGTAGATATAAATATATCATAATATATATTCCTATATTATATTATAGGTATTAGCATTGGTATTACCCATTCTGCCATTAGGTTATTACCTATATTACTCAATGGAATGGTTTCGGTGAACGCGGTGTACTATTTTGACATATTATCGCCATAATATAATATAGCGATATATATCGTTGTTATACACATTCCTTTAATCACAACACTATTACAAGTAGAATTAGTAGACGGTATGTGCGACGACCACGATAATGCATAATTAATTTAATTTTTCACAATTACATTATAATGAATGATGGTAGATCAAAAAAAAGTAGCTAAAAATACAAAAAGCTGCGAGAAAAGCATGAAGAAAAGGAGAAAAGGACTGTTAAAAATACATTTATACACGAATGCGTACATTTCAAAACTTATATCTATTCAAAATACAACTGAAACAGAACGACCTACCTAATCAAAGTTTATTTAATTTTTTTTGAAATCAAAATTAAAAATAATATTTCCGAACGCGAACATCGCTTTAAAAATATACTCCTGTATTACTTTTTGTTCGTCAAAGAGATCGTTTTCGTGTCTCAGAAAACTAAAACGTATTTAAAATTTACTTTTGGCGAAAATTGGTTAAATTATTTAACTCTACGATGAGTATTGACTTTCAAGACATAATTGACATATTCGCTAACCTCAAAAGCCGAACGAAAATAATCTAATACTGTAATCGTATTGTATTCATTTAAAAATAATAAAGAATAAATTAATGAACGATATATTATATCTTTAGATATGTATTTTGTTTTTTAGAGAAAAACTTTTGAAAATGAAAGGGCTCCTTGTAGGCGGAAAATTGCTTAATTTGCCACTTATGGTTTATATGGTAATAAATAATAATCTTTGTTTTATCTCTATATAATAATAATAATAATAATAATAAAAATAATTAATTTCAATCGAAAATTTTAGTTTTTGTTTTATTCCAACACAAACCTGATATTTGATCGCGATGCCGACCGTGACTGGCGATAATTTTGTTTTCGTAGACCTTCTATGTAAAGAAGTTTCACTTCATCCACGCGTACCTACTCGCTTGTTTAATTTGTAGATACTTGCAAACAATAGGTAGTAACATAACTATTAAAATGTATCTATATTCTTAGCTGATACATAATTTTTTTCTTCGAATATCAACTAACCATTTTCTCAAATTTATAATATCTATTTACTAAGGAATATTGTATGGTGACCATCCCGATAAAACCTTTAAACCCTTATATGTTCTGTATAATTATATTGTTTTACCATGAAATTGGCATATAAATAAGCTTATATATAAAGTATAAGTCATATAAAGGTAGGTACATCATTTTAATTTCTGCTTTTAGCATAGATAAAAAATTATAAATTATCGCATTGAAATATTTAAATACCTACACATTTCTTGAATACCATACAGAGTAAGGAATGTAATTCACAAAATGTTAATTAATTGTTATTTAGTCAGACGCTTTTAAGTCTATCAGTTGCCGAATTCATGAAATTGGAAATCTTACACCTAAAGTGTTACATTAATTATTATATGATCATTGAATTACAAATTACTTTTCTTATTATTTATTTACCATTTAAATTACGTAAATAACGAATATTAATTATAAAAAACTACATTTTTATTACTCAAATACTTCCAGTAGTTTCGAAATACAGTGAACTAAAATCTATCTATTGTACTATTGTGATAAAATATAAGCATTGTAAAACAAAGCTATTGCAATACAACTATCAAGTCCTTACTCATCCACAAGCTAGTGACCTACTGTAAAAAATAGACCATGTTATGCTTCTCATAGTTTTAGAATATTAAAAAAAAAACTGTATTAATTAGTTTAATAAATGTTAATAGCATAGGTACCTACATACAAACATTTTAGTTTATAACATTAATTTAAATATAATTTCTTTTAGTAACGGTGGGCAACCGCGACGCCTGCTTAATATAGAAATATACGCTTATTAAACATAAAACTTCCTAGAGAAATTTCGTCGATTGGTAATCAGTTTATTATTATATTATAATAAATTATATGTCCAATTCATAATCATAATGTATAATATTCTCAAAGTTATACGCGTCGTCGGAATGTGCATACGATAATAATAACTTTCTTTGTGGTGAAGGGCACGTACGGCATAGTTCATGTACCTATGATATATGTATTATGTATATGTGTACATTACAGTTAGGTATAATCAATAAAATATAATAATTATACGAATCATTTAATATATTTTCGTATCGTGGTCCTAGTAAATACCTATAGGTACTTAATAATAATTCACGATACAACGATTATAATAATTCAATGGAGCCAAATTTTGTAAAATATGTTTTTGAATAACATAAAAAAAAAATAATTATAGTGTCTATAGTTTAATAAGAGTTATTCGAATAAAATAAAATAATAAAATAATAAGTATACATTCGAAATTATTATTAAGAACTGAAAAGGTTACCTACTTTTATTAACAATGCAAGATAAATGTAGTCGGATATATTGAAGTACGGCTACTTACTTAACCTAACTACCTAACCTAGGTACCTAATAATAACCAATACAATTTCAAACACTATTTTGTTGTTAAAACTTTTAAAAGTTCAACAGCCGTTATCCATACTTTTTATAAACTTTAAATTGGTTCTATATGTATAAGATATTTACATACCATCCGTAACTTACCCACCTATGTGTAATATATATTTTTGAATATATTTAAAAGTTATGTACCAATTATTAGGTGTCTACCTACCTTTATACTTAACAGAAATCGAATACCTATATTTATTTCATTTTAAGTTTTGTTTTATTTTATAGTGAACACATTTATTGTGTTTACTTGTTAAGAGTTAAAATATACAAAAAAAAAAAATTTAATATAATTTGATATAACACATACCTATTTATTTTAATTTACAATTGCCCTTTAAGTTAAATTTTAATTTAAAAAAAAACTTATAGACTATGCAGTATAGTATGCATTTTGCACTATTAAAACTTTATTACAATAGGTATTATTAGTATACATTGATATAAACTTTTTTTTTTTAACAGCTCATGTTAACACATTTACAACGCTCTAGCTAAGTACCTCCTATCTATAAAAGTACAATAAAAGACAATAAAAGATATTAATACATAGTATTAATATTACGAATTTTGAATCTAATAAGAAAGCTTTTATAAAAATAATGTACTTTTAGACTTAAGTATTTTAATAATTGCATTATAATCAACATTCTATTTTGTATAAAATATCTTTTTTATGGAATATTGAAAAAACATGTACCTACTTTGACTGCGATAATTTATGATTGTATTATTATAATAAAATTATAAATTATAATACACCGTAAATCTCGCACTGTAGTTAGTTGAACGAGACAAGTTACTTTCTTAGTAACCTATTTCTTTGTAATCGGCTAATGCAAAAAAATAATAATAATAATTAGGTACTAAAGAAAATAATGTGTAGGGTGTCTATATATCAGCGCAGACAGTGTTGTTTTATTTTAAATTCAAATATTCAATGATGCCTACTTCAAACTTAATACCTAACTTGAACGAGCATAGATTTTCAACGTCTATTACATGTTTTTAAAATAAACCAAAATAATTCTAGTTATGTATTCTCGTGTCTCAAATTCGTGAAGACATTTTCTGTTTTTTTTCTTTGCACAATTGCTCTCACATAAAAAAACTTAATCACATATTAAAAAAACTAGGTATGAAATATTGATTATTGGAATAATGAATTATACCATGCTACAAGAACTTACTGGTTGATATTTTTTAATAAACTGTACTACTTTAGAAAGAAGGTTTACCTATTTATTTGCAGTTTTTGTTTATCTATAGGAAGCTTTTATATACATTTTTTCTAAACACATACGACATATTTATATACTTGCATACTTATATATATAAATTATGTTAAGTTAGATACTATCTTTAGTATACACATTATACTATATAATATTTACAATATTTGGTCATGAATTGGTTTTTAATTGTCTGCCAAAAAAATATGAGCAGAAACTAATTAACAATCCAATTGACAAATATATAATTTTGTTTTTATAATAATTATAATATTCTACATTTTTTAACAAGATAAGTTCAAAGTTATTAATACTTGATATACTATACAATACTACCTAGTCAAATGGAGAAGAAAAGTAACTAAACTCAGCGAAATAAAGCGTACAATAGAACGTTGGAAAATCATAGAAAATCTTAATAGAAAATACGAAGTAATATTAACAAGACTTAGAATAGGCCACACTCACTACACACACAAGGCTACCTAATGTACCGAGAAGAACAAACAGAATGCGCATCATGTGGAGTCCACCTGACAATCAAACACATATTCGTCGAATGCAGACAAACTGAAGCCGCCAGAAGTAAACATAACATTCCAGAACATCTATACTAATCACTAGGCCTGAACTTAGAAACCATCATAAAGACTCTAAGCTTCATAAAAGATACAAAAATGGAAAATGTATTGAACAAAATTAATCAAAATACGACATGTAAAAACAAAATCATTGTAATAACTAATCTTAAGTAAATCATTGTCAATTATCAAATTTCAGCCAGTGGCCGTCATTGGGGAGGCTTATTCCTAATAAAAAAAAAATAAAAAAAATACTACCTAGTACCTATATTAAATATAAATTTAAAAAACCTAAATAGAAGCTACATTTTAT